TAATAATAATAATAATAATAATAATAATAATAATAATAATAATAATAATAATAATAATAATAATAATAATTTAACTTTATTGATCTCACACTGGAGAAGCTTACCTCTGCATTTAACCCATCCCCATGGGGAGCAGTGGGCTGCCATTGTGTGGCACCTGGGGAGCAATCAGGGGTTAAGGGACTTGCTCAGGGACCCAGAGTGCAGGCTGTAGGGATCAAACAGGGTACTTCCAATGCTCTAACCACTGGGCCAACACTCCCCTTCAACACACTTTTTGACATAAGTCCAGTTTTTTCTTTTATTTAATTTTTTATTTTTTTTTTGGATTGAAACAACTTTTTGGGAATTGAATGATTAAGACACAAATGTCCTACCCATGTATGGCCCAAACACAAACTAGATCCCTTCAACCAAAGAGAACATTCTCAATAATAAAAAAAGTGTTCAAATGAAATTTTTTGAGTTTCAAATATTTTATTTGTATTCAAAAACAATTTTCTATGATTGAAAACGTTTATCTTTTTATTGAAGTTACTTTTTTTATTGATTCTGTTGTTTGTTTGTTTGTTTGAAGCAGCTTTTTTAAAATTTTGATTGAATAATAAAGACACTTATGTCCTACCCATTATATTGTCAAATCAAAAAACAATATTACTTCAATTAAAAAGTTGCTTTAACCAAAAAAGACTGGACTTCTATCAAATAAAACATTTTCAATCAAAGAAAACCAGTGTTCAAATGTATTTTTTAAGTTTCAAATATATTTTTGCATTTAAATACTTTTTTCTTTGATTGAGAAGGTTTTTGTTCATTGAGGTGAAGTTTTTTTTTTATTTGAAAATATATTTTTTGATTGAAGCAACATTTTTTTTTTTTTTTGTGATTGATTGAATGATAAAGAGACAAATCTACCTTGAGAGACAGGAAGACAAATAAGCAGCTGGTCATTGTTAGGAAGGTGTTTAACTGTTAAAACACATCTTTTCAATAATTCTGGTGATGAACAGGAGATTGCTGGGTAAAAACACGTGGTTAAAACATCAAAGCATCGGGGGGTGGAGGGGGGTCGGGGGGTTGGTTATTATGCAATTTCTTCCAGATTTTTCAAGTTTATGTGGTAAAATTGGGTAATTTTGTAAAAGTAAGTTGGAGACAACTTTGGTTCTGGCATAATATGGATGCAGCAACTGCTACTCTAACCATTTGGGTTTTTTTCAATGAAGATGTTGGCAAATTCATTGAAGGACCTGGTGGAGTGGAATTAAGCTGCTGCAGTCATTGGAGGGTTTGTTAACCTGTTGATGATAAGGAGTATTTATCATGTTTTTGCGGGTGATCTCAGAGATTTTTTCACATTTTTATGTTGTGATTTTTATCTGTACAATCTCTTTTTATATATCTGACAGTGAACCTGGAGTCTAAGCTTTTCACTAGCTGCGTTCAGCTATATGAACACTGCCTTTTTCCATTTCTGTCTGGTGGAGCACTTATCCACAGATACTTTTTCTTCCCAGAAATGACCTTACCTTCAGTCAGAGCATTGGAAGCAATGATGTATGAAAGTTATCTACCACCTCATCTACAGTCACAGGGTGAAGTGAAGGTAGAGCAACTCTGGTGAAAGTTTTAGTTGCATCATCCTTAAAGATGTGTTTTCTTATCATCTCTGTTAGGCTAACTGAATCATTGAAAATCATGACTTTATTATTACAGAGAAGGGGGTCAGATAGAGTAGCAACAGTTACCGAAGCTTTGGAAATGTGTCGTACATTAGTCAAGTCCATAATATGTCCCTGTTTACATAGCACGTCTGTCTTCAGTATGTGAATGTCCCCCACAATAATTAAACAGTCAAAAACAAACACACATCACATATAAACTACCATTAAAATAACTGAAAATATTTTTTGAGCAAGAGGCCTTAACATGTTCAAGAACATGATTTAAACCAAGATCTTTACCAACATTCATAGAGGCCAAATTTGTTCAGAAATACTCTTTTTTTCACTTATTATATGGCCTGCATGTAAAACCTTTTGTTTGACGTTATATTTTTAAGGGTGTATCCCTACTGGTAGTGGTAGCAGTATTGTTTTATAGCAGATATAGAAAAGACTGTAAGAGTTAATGTGAAAATGGATAGTGCTAATGTAGGACAATCGTAGAAGAAAAGCAAAACCTGCAAAAGGCTTGACAAGACATTCATTACTTTCAAGCTTTGCCCCCTCTACAGCAGTGGTGTCAAAAGTACACACATTTGTTACTTAAGTAGAAGTATAGATACTGCATTGTAAAAACACTCTGGTAAAAGTTGAAGCATCAACTTGTCCTCTTTACTCAAGTAAAAGTGAAAAAGTATGTGCTCCAAAAACTACTTAAAGTATAAAAGTATAAAGTAACCTTTAAAAAAAAAAACAGCCAGATGCCACTATATGAATTGAAAGCTAAATGTTTCGACTATTTCAAAAAATTCTGTTGTATTCAGGGGCCAGAGAAACCTTTTACAATTTTAAATTATCCAATTTGTTCTTAGTTAATCTTTTAACAGTTTATTTCTGCAGATTCTAAATGGTTCGAACTGCCTGTAGGTGATCTTGGATATTTAGGGAAGTAGTTGTTAGAAGCCCCCAATCCTGCAATTAAAATGATTATTTTCAGAATAAGTAGCTATCCTATTTGCAACTGAATACTGTTCACAAAACGCTGTTTTTGTTTTTGTTTTGTTTTTTCAAAACTGGCATGTTTATTTCAAGAAATATGTTGAACAGATTTTGAAAAGAGCATCCAATAGTGTAGTAACAATTGTAGAAATAGCTAACTTTATTCTAAATACATAAAAATACACAAATTAGAGTGATTTGACTTTTGAAAGTAGCACCTCATTATTCCAAATAAATCAGTAGGGTTCTATCAGTGGTGTCAAAAGTACATTTGTTACTTA